TGCGACAATATTTTATATGGAAATCAATGAGGAGAGATGTAAAATATCATGTGAAGCATTGTGATTTGTGTCAGCGAGTGAAATTCAATAATGTATGTATGGAAGGCGAAAACGAAATGGTTGCCGCACAACGTCCGAAGGAACTTATAGCAATAGATTTTTATGGCCCGTTGCCTAAATCCATTGGTGGAGTGCAATATGTTTTAATTGTTTTGGATGTGTTTTCGAAATATGTTAAACTGTATGCTATGAAACGTGCGACGTCAGCGATGACACTCAAGAAAATATTAACCGATTATGTACCTAAGGTGGGAAAGCCCTGCGCGATATTGTCAGATCATGGAACTCAGTTTACGGCGGCCAAGTGGCGTATCACATTAGAGCAATCTAAAATCAAAGTATTGTTCTCGTCTATTCGCCATCCTCAATCAAATCCTGCTGAGCGAATTATGAGAGAAATAGGTCGATTGTTTCGAACATTTTGTGCAGAAAGACATACATCTTGGGCGAAATATTTAACGAAAATTGAAAATTTATTAAATATAACTAGCCATTCAAGTACTGGTTATATACCACATACGTTGCATTTTGGAACGACTGTTGATGACGATATCATGTGAATGGTAAAATTTCCATCGATGATACCTGTGAATCATGAAAAAATCATTGTATTTGCACGTGAACGGTTACAAAGTAGTTATAAAAGTCGTTTAAAGCAACAGACCAGTAAATCTAATACACTCTTGCGAATAGGAGATTTAGTCTTACTGAGGGTACCTCATTTGTCAAATGCATCAGACGCGTTCACTCGAAAATTCTTTCATTTGGATGAAGGTCCCTAAGGTATTATAAAATGCCGTGGCCCTAATGCCTCTGTAATAGCTGATAGGTTAAAAAACGATGTTATTAAGGGCACTTATAATGAACTAATTTAAAATTATACTATAGTCAACCTGTTTCGAGCGATTGAACTTAAATGTATGTTAATAGATACCTAATTTATGTGGGCTTGATATCTATCAAGATAAATTCTGTGGTCATTTAGTTTACCACATTACATTGGGGATTGTGTCAATGTAATGTGAGGGGGAAATATGTAGCGCGGCAATTGTATTTACGCGCCGAATTGATTCCAGATGCCAGCACATTCGTGTCCTCCCACTTAGTATAAATTTTAGTAGCTTCGCGAAGGGAAAAGTCTTGCTCTTCCCATTTGCCTGTAGGCATTGAATACGGAAGCAGCAGGTATTTATAGCAAATAATATAGAAATCGCTTATTAGGACGTTACTCTATTACATTTGTTTTTCCATCACTCTGTTAGGTATTTGGGCCATTTTCCCGTGGTCAACACAGGATTATTTTAAGCGGATTGGATTTTATTAGAAAAATATAGCACGGAAAGGCACGAGGTGTTACATCTTGGAATCTACTTGGTTACCGCTGACTTAGAACTATCATGTCTACACATGAATAGTCACCACGAAACTTCAGTCAGTATAATCTTCGATAAAGTGTGTGTGCGTTAATGAAATTCGATAATTTGTTTTAAATCATATTTATCTAAATTGTACTCGTTCAGTTTATATCCGCCAATCTTCGATTATGCATTGTCGCTCGGGGGTTTAAAGCGCGTAGTAGTGTCTTTGATATTATCGTGTTTTATTATTAGTGTCTAATAGAATAAGTGTTATATTACACGGTTACGAAATTCACGATCATTATACACTTCAAATGGATTAATTCGATCACGAAAAACTTTCGGATAATTTTGTCGCATCGCATTCACTTCACGCACATCGGCGATGTCGTCTACATCGTCGACGGAATCCATTTTGACTGATTTTGACAGCTGGTAATAGCAGTATAATAGTGCCCTTGGCCGCTATTATAAAATAGCGCACTCTATTAGCTTAAAAGTTCCTTAAGAGAGACTTAAGAAGTGGTATGAGTAGGAAACGTCTCTAATAGACGTCTCTTATAGCGTCTTATAGCGTCATTTTTCTATAATAGTGGCTTAAGAGAGAGGTATGAGTAAGGTCTCTCTTACCTGCTGTCTTTTAACGTCTAATAGACGTCTCTTAACGCTAAACGAAAGGTATGAGTAAGGGTCAATGTGTTTACGAAAATATTGAAACCGGTAGCAGCATATTTAAGAAAGGGCGGGTTAGCTTCCGTTTACTATCTCGATGATATTCTTATCATCAATAGATCTTCTGAGAGATGTGTTCGTAATATAAAGAAGACAACTGCTCAAACAAGAGCTAGGATTTACAGTGGAACCTCTCATAGCGTACACTCTCATAGTGTACGAGGGCGGAGCGTCGGGACGCAGTAAGTTGGTTGAAGGGGGATTGATCAGGGCCGTCGCACATACACTTCAAAAGGGCGCTTAAGAGGGGTGACCGTAATTTTTTTAAAACGTGTTTTGGGATATGTTTCATTTGCGCTTCAATGTTGTCAAATTTTTCATATTAAAAAATATTTTATTTTGTCAATAAAATTTCTTATAACATGATAACATCTAATATGTACAACGCGTATTAAAAGCAACTATTTCGTTAAAAATAATACTCTTTAAACACATAAGTTTTCTTTTTCTTAATGTAAATAAAGCTTTGATGCAGCGGAGTTTTTTTTACGGTTTCAAGAGTTTTTAAGACTCCTTTTTTTTATCGTTCTGCAACGCGACTCTAATCACAGAGCGAATTTTTCTTAGCTTGCAAACTCTTAGGATTACAATTTTTCTCTGTTCACAGCGAATAATTGATTTTTATTATATGTAAATAATTACTTACTTTTTATATATACGATATCCACGATGTTATACGATGTTGTCGCGGTTTTGTTTACAACATCTCATACCGGCACAAGCGAACACGGGGTCTGCAGTCACGGCACTGCACGAGTGTCAAGGAAGGGGAATGGTGGGGATAGCAGTCGATCGACTACAGCCGGTTCTGGCTCGCGATTGGTACCTCAGATAGCGTAGATTGTCTCCCTGTTACGTATGCTATGAGAGGTTCCACTGTATTATTAATGAAGAAAAGAATTTCACAACACCTACGCAGCGCTGCAGATACTTGATTAATTTTCGATTTCACTAAGATGTCTATAGAATTACCAAAAGAAAAAGTTCTACGAACTCTCGAATTACTGCGAAAATTTAGTAAACTTACTCATTACACGATAAGAGAATTTGCAGTCCTCGTCGGTACCCTAATCTCGAGATGTCCGGCTATGAAGTACGGGATGATTTATGTGAGAGGTTTTGAGAAGGAAAAGACTTTGGCGCTCGAGGCCATCAGCAATCATTTTGATGGAAAACTGTACCTTTAAAAAAGTCTGACAAAAGACCTTAGCATGGTGGAAAGAGAATATCGTTTGTGCTAGCGCGGCAATGAGTGAAACTTTTTTTCTATCTTGAGATTTTTTTCGACACCTCGCGCACCGGTTGGGGCGTTTTTTGTAAAAACCGTAAAAATCACGGGTTTTGGGACGACAAAGATTTAGCGCTACACATAATCGAACTCGAGTTAAGAGCGGCTTTCTTCCGTTTAAAATGCTTCGCAAGTGACTGTTACGTATATCGGCCTTCATTCCGAAACAGGATAATAACGTAGCCGACAGTCAATATAATTGCAGACTCGGCACGTTACCCATCGCATTGCCCGTTTCACCTACCCAGCTGGTTAGTCGAGTGCATTCCTAACGTCTTAACGATACCTAGAGCATCAGCAAAATATCGACTATATAAGCAGCCAAAATCATGGCACTGACGCTCAGAAAATCATTCAGTTTCACGCGTAAAAGATCGGACTGCACATTGTCACTCGTGGCTCGAACCGTTAGAGTATTAGATTCAGTGTAATATTCGCAATCTGGCCTAGGTACGGATTCGTTATTACATACCCTAGGGAACAAGCTGGATTGGTTACCGGGCAAAATTGAGCTGCATAAACTGGTCTTTCCAAGTAACGCACATACTAAATAATTGTCTGTTCCACCAAATTTCTTTTTGCCTTAGCCTCACACGTAATCAGGTTTTGTAATCGAATTTCACAATTTTTTTATCCCAGTATTTCTCATAACCGAAACACTGTACACAACAATTAATTGAAACCTTTTAAATTATTTGTAACAATATATCGCAAATTCACATTTTACTCGCGTCTTAAATATCTACTACCCATCCTTGAACATTACAGGGAATATCTATCCACGTTGGAATAACAAGTCGTGTTTCAACACCTTAAACGAGCAGCAAACCGACCATTAAGTGCATTCTTACCGCTCGGAATTCACTCAAATATTATTCACGTTACCTCTGGTCGTTCCTTTTCTTTTGGTTACTTCTACATTTTTGTTATCAAATTTAAAGGCCTCGCTAGCCACGACGGCCTACGTAACATGACATAAGACATAGTAACATCTTATTACGCATAGACAACACGACAGCAATTGCTTACATAAATCGATTGAGAGATAGTCAATACGAGAATCTTAGCTCCCTGGTCAAAGAAATGTGGCAGTGGTGTGAGCGGAGAGACATTTGGATTCAGCGTCGTATATCCGATCGGGTGACGACGTCGAGGCCAATCAGGAATCGCGAAGATTACAGCCCGAGATAGAATTTCAGCTCTCACGTAGAGCGTGTAAAAGAATAGTAGAAATCTTTGGCCGACCGGAAATTGATTTATTCGCCTCGCGAGCAAATACGAAATGCAGTAAGTATGTTTCGTGGCGCAGAGATCCCGAATCCATTGTAATCAATGCTTTCACTCTCAGGTGGAGACGTTGGCTTTTCTACGCTTTTCCACCCTTCTCTGGTATTTTCAGAATGTTGAGAAAAATCGAGAGGCAGAAATCTTGCTGAATAGTAGTTGTGCCGTACTGGGTGGTTCAGCCGCGGTTTCCCTTATTTTTATCTCTGCTTGACGCCGAACTAATTATATTCAAACTAGATATTAATTTAATTCAATCTTCCTGCAGGGAGACACATCCATTGTGGGATCGCCTTACGCTGGTGACTGCGAGGTTGTTCGGGAAGCGTTTATCAGGAGAGGGATCCCGGTGTAATCAGTCGACATCTCAATAGCATCGTTATCAAATTCATCGTTACGCCAGTATGATTGTAGGTTAAAAAGATGGTGGCTCTTTTACTCTGCCAAAAAATTTGACCCGTTTAACGGCTCCGAAAAAAATGTTTTATTATTTCTCATTGAAAAATTCAAAAAAGGCGCCTCATATAGTTTTTTAAACTACTATAGATCCGCGATTTCACTAATTTTAGGACCCGAGTTGGGGAAAAACGATAATATTCAACGCTTCTTTAAGGGCATAGTTAAACTGAGACCGGCAGCAACCAGATACGATTCAACCTGGGATCCCAAGATTAGTTTGAGATATTTATCGACGTTTTATTTAAACGAAAAGATTACTTTGCAAAACTTAACTCTAAAACTGGTGACCTTGCTGGCAATATCCACGGGACATCGAATGCAGTCTCTGTCTCTTATTAATACGAGAAATATTTACCGGACAACCGATAATGTATTGGAAATAAAAATTCCCAATATGATTAAAATGTCAGGTCCCGGGACAAAACAGCCGGTTCTAAGGTTACCGTGCTTTACTCAGGAAAAACCGGTCTCTGTGGCTTCAGTGTTACTAAGTTATTAAGAGAAAACTAAAGAATTGCGAGGATCAAAAGTTAAACTGTTTATTTCTTTTAAGAAACCATATAGAGGAGTTGGAATACAGACTTTGAGTCGATGGATAAAGTTAGTTATGTCTAAAAGTGGCATTGATACAAACGTTTTTTCGGCATATAGCACTCGACATGCGGCGACGTCGGCAGCAAACGTTAGGGCGTCAATATTGACGTAATTCGAAAAAGTGCCGGGTGGTTAAAAGACTCAAAGACATTTGCTCGATTTTATGATCGTTGTGTTTCAACGGAAAACGTGCAACGTCTTAAGGTGGATCCTGGATCTTTATGGTTAAGCCTATTTTTATAATTTTTAGTAAAAAGAAATAAAACGGCTTATCATAAATATATCCGCCGTAACTATTGGTTCGGCATGAAAGTAATGAGACACTCTAGAAAACTCCACACATGTTCTTTTTTAAATTAATTGTTTTTGACCATATTCTAGTATGTTGTAGAACATTCTAGATACTTTCGCTCTGTGGGTATATGTATACAATAGAATATGATCAAAAACAATCCTATTCTAAAAAAGTCATGTTACATTTTATCGAATTGCGATATTAGCATTGTTGTCGCTTTATTCGGTTCGTGATTGGCTGTCGGTGTCGTCGGTCGACGAGTGTCACAGCATCGGCGCTTCGTGTCCAAGTTCACGGCATGTATCTACATAATACCAGAGATGAATAGTGAGATTGCCAATGGGCCAAAATTCTTGAAACCAATTTTATTTTGGAGTAAACGCGCCACCTGAGCGGAGGGCCGTCGAACCATACCCACGTTTTTGATTGGTCAAGCGTATGTATCAAACTACTCTAAGCAAACTTCAAACGTGTATAACAACTGAAATATAGTTTTCCCAATCTATACGTCACGGCAACTAACTATCATACGTGCATGGTAACGAGTCAACGTGCGAGAGTCTCGGGTTCGAGACCCGATTATTATTAATTTTTTTTTATTCATGAACAATGCTTATTGAATCTATTAATTAACTTGGAATGTAGCAAATGCATGATTATACTATACTATATACATTTTATTATATTATACAGTCTTGTCTATTTTTATGCCGTTGATACGTTCCACAGAAAACAGCATATAAAAAATATAGGTAGAAGGAGGAACTCGGAATTTTCATGAATCTTCAAAACCGCATTAAAAAGCCACCTGCAAATGAATTTTACCCAATGAAATGCTATATGTAGACATATATTCCCCATATAAGGATCGCGAGGCACACAATACATGGGTATGTCCAGGCTATTGACATATAGTGTGGACTACGCGATTCCTACCTTAGATTCTTTGAAAAAGTGACCGCTCAAATAAACAAAGAGAAAATGAGGTGGCGGCCAATCGTTCTCCTTTTCTAATGTTCCCATTGCCTATGTTTTCTATACTCTCGTACTACGGCTGCTGGTTAGAAGAAGATAGGGCTTTGCCACTACCAGTCGCTATCTTTTTCTTTCAGCCGACCATTTTTCCTATGTCTATGCGTAGTCCATACTATATGTCGATGGCTCAGTCTATTTGTACTCACAAGGGGAGGAAACGGTATGGGAAATGAAGTTCCGAATGAGACTTCGTAGTGATGAAACCTCATACCATGCTCAAGTTCTACAGACCAATGGGCAGCCAATTCTGACAGAGCCCTAAAGTTCGTATGGGAACTTATGTATTTAAAGGTGTAACTTAGCTACAAGTGGTTT